AATATATATATATATATATATATATATATATATATATTATATACTTTCATTTACTAACGACTTTAACTTCATGCAAACCTAGAATAAGATGGCATTTTTTTAGTTTTTAATGTGGAGTTATAAGGTCCGGTCTTATAAGTCATTACGGTTCAGAAATCCTGTTAAACTATCTTTTCGCGCATTCCGTTGGTTATGAAGAAAAGAAGTCCATTGTTTCAAGTTTTTTGTAAACATTGCCTCTTCCATTTTTAGGTCTGGAACTTGGTGACTGCTTTTGAAAACTTTGACGTAGTGATAGTTTCAATTTTTCACTTTTTATTTCACTTCAAATCGAGTTTTCGCATTGTAAAAAATTTTCAGGCCTTTTCTTCAGCAGTCCCGGTGTTTTATTAATTGTGCTACGTATCCCAGTGCCGAAAAAACGTATTGCTGTTTTTTCTATTCATTCTCGGTGTATTATTTCATTCTGAACGAATCTCGAAGTGAACAATTGATATAAATTTAGCCAGTTCTCCCAGTTATTACCCGGTGATTAGATTGGTTTTTCTCCTCACTTCACCTCACAATTTCATCTACCAATTCTTATAAATTTCTAAAGTGTGAAGAAATTTGCATAAACCCGCAAAAAAAACCTTAGTCCTGTCATTTCTGTTTCGCTTCATATTGGAATTATTGTTGAGTGACTATTTCTCCTTCTGTACTATTCACATTCGTTGTATATTCATTCGCCTTAATGAGCAGTGGCCTTCGAAATTGTTCGAAAATTCTAAAAAGAAATGACAATGCAACTACTACGATAGCCAGTACCTCTACCGCTGCTACAATTAATGCAATTTCAAAGACAGATCCGCTTGGTACACCGGTAATCAGTGAGCCGAAAAAGTAAGTTATTATTTGATATTCATACAAAGTGTAGATTCCAAAAAAAGGAGGAATTCTTAAGCTGGCAAAAGACTGTGAGTTAAACTGGTAAAGGATAAATGATTAGTTACGAATTTTTTTTCATTACATTTCCAGTTATTTCTGCTGAGGGTTACAAATATTTGATATCAATTACAGAATAAACGCGTATTTTTGAAAATATATTTTCTGAAATAAAATGATTTATCACAGATGGACTCTGTGTTTATCAACTGAGCAATCTCTGGAGGTTCTTCTTCGGGCTTATTTTCTTTTTGTCTTGGAAAATTAGAGTGATAAACTTCGTTTCCTCCAATAATCAACAATTAATCTTTATCATACAGTGCTAATAACTCCAACTACTTATCATGATAATTAAAATTTCAAGTTTTTTCCAAGTTTTTTTGTCCCTTACAGTTTTATCTTAATGAAAGCACTCTTACATCGCTTTTGCTAACTTTTGTAACTTCTTTGAAGTGGTTAATTTTTTTTTATTTTCAAAACTCATTTTTGATTTCCATGAAGAAATGATGGTGAATCCTAAGTTCACCGCTAAAATTTTTTTAGTATTTATCAAAAATTTCACAAATATTTAGAGGCTGATAATTCAAATTACATCAGGCGTGGACGTAAACCTGCAATAAGCCGGCCAGTACTAATTCCGGCAACGGTTAAAGAAAGTGTAGTAAATGGTAATGATCACAGTAGCAGTACCGTAAAAGTAGACAGGGTGGCAGAACGCGGTAGAACAATGAGTACTTCTGTAACCGGCAAATGTAATGACCAGCAGTCATCTGCTATTGCTACTACTACCACTACTACTACTGCTTTCGTTAGTAGCATTGCTAATGTCATGATCGAAAATGAATTGTTCTTACCGAAAGTCTATGATGATATCACTCAGCCTACTCCATCCATTGCAGCTATGAATAAATCCGACGGTAAGCTCTGGTTTTCATCCTTTAGAAAATAAGGTTTGCACCAAAAAATGCATTTAACTGATCAATTCTGCAGTTCCGTGAGCCGTTAGAATTTTAAAGGTTAAATGGTATTTAAATAGTTGGTAATAATTCTCTTAAAATGAATTATTCGTCGAAGCGAAATGGAAAACTCCTGCCCTGAGCTCAGCATTTAAATAATTAAGGAAGCATACCTCTGGCATCCACTGACAGTGGCATCGATTCGTGCGTAGATGTGGATCATGAGATGAAGGATGTGGTGACATTGCGGGACGATGAGGAAGCTTCACCTAGTGAGAATTGTAGCGATGATGCCGTTGCGGTTCCACAGTCCAGAAGTTCTCTCCATTATGATCGTATCATTTGCGGTGACTGTCATGCAGAATTTTCGTTATCAACATTTGTGGAATTCGTCGAACACAAGGTAAGTTCCATTGAAACATTTCTCGTAGATGTATCTGTTTAAATTCACTAATATTCGGTAAATGATTAAATGAAGCGCACGAGGAATACCGACGAGTGCTGTGGAAGTGTTAGAAGGCCAAAAAATTACCGTGGTATCTGATAAAAGCAGTTTATCAAGAATATTTTGGATTTGCATCAGCATTAAGCTGTTGAAGAACATACCATATTTAAAATTTGTAAATTGTTGTCCTTCAAGATTTCACGTTGTGATAATAATAAACGGACGCCATTGGACGAGTTCCTTGCTAATATATCGCCAACTCATCCATCCAGCGAAACCCTTCGGCCCGGTCGTCGACGACTTCTGGTCAATTGCTGTCATTCATCCGCAGTAAGTAATTTTAATCCGGATTGCTAAATAGTTTCTACAATTGCTCTGTATCTATGGTTAAAAACACTTCGTCATTTGCAACTGGTATTGTGCATCTTACTACGATGTCTGTATACTGCTATGACTATGACATCTTATGTATTCCTGGGCTTTTACATTTAAGATTTAACGCAATTGAACTTTTTTGAGGATTTGAGTGATTCATGTTCCCGCTGCATTCCATCATATGGTAATGATCAAAGTGCTTCATTTATGTTGCCAACTAGTGAAGGTCAGGAAAAACGTAACGATAGGGTTGATGCTACTACAGATACGGATACCTTAGGTAAGTACATTATCATGTTCTTTACTACTTATTACTTATATCAAAGGACAAAATTATGTAAAATTTACAAACTGTCATGCTTTGAGCGACAATTTTTTATGGTTCTGAAAAATATGCGCCCGTATCCTTTGTATACATTTTATTACTCGGTTGATGAATCGGGCATTCCTTCATTTGCTTTTTTCATGGCCTTTGGTATTGTTAACGAAGCAATGAACTGCCGTTACGATCCTCTAATTTGCATAAGTTATTACTGTGAAAGCTATGGAAGATTTCTTTCCTCTTTTGTCTCAAGTTACTGAGATAAAAGACATCGGGAATTTACATCTGTGTGAATGGTTGATAATAAATATGTTGATAATGATGATATCTTCAGGGGATAATTCATTGCGCATTAATGAATTTTTAGAACGTTACGACGAGAAATAGGATTGATTTATTTCACACAATGTTTAGCTCAAAATCCATAATATATTCTAAATTTATGAGAATTTATCTAGAATACGTTGTGGATTTTGAGTTAAGCATTGAATATAAATAAATCGATATTATTTCTCGTTTAGCATTCTGAAATTTCATTCATGTAACAAAATTATAGTGTGAAAAACAATTAGTAATGCAATTTTTGAAGAAGTATGGAAGAAATTTCGAAATTTATTTAATTACTAGATTTAAATTTTTTTCCTCGGAGATAGTTTTGTTTTGTCTGTTGGAAAAATACAGGAAGAGGAAATGAGTAGTCCACAAATGTTAGAAATTGAATGTTAGAGTTATGTCATATGTATGTCTGTCACCCTCTTCTCCATTGCATCGCATCATTGCTTTGAAAGTGAAGTGCTTGCTATTCAACAAAATCACTTTTCTGAAAATTGGACAAGAATAATTGTTATGTATGCTTGACCATTCTTAGACACAGAATGCAGCAATCAGTGAATCTTCTGCTTCGTATCCTTGAAAAAAAATGGAACTACTGCGAAATTTAATACTGTCATGTTCGAATAGAGCTTTACTGTTGACTGATTTATTTTATGACTGGAGGTATATAAGTCTTATTGTATGACAGTAGAGTAATTACCCCGTTGGTCGATTATAGATTAGTCACTCAATTGCTGGATGAACAAAATTTTTCGGGGTGCAAATTTTAGCTGAGATGGCAGTTTATTTTTCGTGTGCCTTTATATCTCCATTTTACACTTACATCGTTTCTCATTTCCATGTACATTAGTTCTCTATTAGTAACTGACTGGTATTCACTTGAAAATAAGCGGGTTTTTTTTCATATTTTTGGAAAAAGGACAGCTGCAGTGACTTGACCTTTCAACAATACTGCACGAATAACAGGACTGATTGTTGAAGAGTGCAGAGACAATCATAGAGAAGTAAAAGAGGCGTTGATACAATGTTAGCATTGTTTGGACGGGTTTTAACAAAAATATCGGTATGAAAACCCGTGACTGAAGTGTATTTTTTACTACTTTATATGCTTAGCTGTACTTCTGAATACATATTCCAACATTTTTTTTTCTTGCAAGGAAATAGAAGGTTAGAGGACGAACGAAGATTCATTAGGAATTATTTTTAATTGAAAACTGTTCGCTAAAATAGAGTGTTTTAATCGTTCTCTACATTGTACTAAGATTCTGATTGCGACAAATTGGACCTTCTTTTCCTTTTTTTTGATACTTAAGCGGTTGACTGACTGAAAACTTTTCGGCTGATTTTAGTTTCTTTTGGTACACTTTTTTTCCGTTCATAACATGCAGAAATAAAAGAAGATAAATGGGATGCGATTGGCCATCAACACGAAAACAAGTTTTGCTTGCCCTTCTATCATAACGACCACAGCACCCAAATGTTATCATTGAAAAGACCGGATATTGCACAACTGACGATTCCATTTGCTGTGCAGACCAGTTATATTCTCCGTGACTAAATATTAATTGCATTCATAAAAAATGCACAAAGATTAAATGAGAATGGTAAAGTCGTTATGCTATGCGGGATAGCGGTATTCATTGCTTCATAGTTACTTAATATGCTTCATTCTAAAATACCTGCGGGATTGTTGCTTGCAAAGATTTTCTGCAACACGCATTTATTTCGATAGACTTTCTAATAATTCACAATATACTCTTGTGGATTTTTTGAAAATTTTTGATGCTAGCATTAAAACAGATGCTTCAAGCAAGATTTCGCCTTTCACGTCAAAGATAGTCTAGCGTTGGCTGATTAAGATATCAGTATTGAATATTTGCAGCAATATTTAAAGAATTACATGTAACTGATGTTTAGGCATGTGAATATTAGGGGAAGTTTGTTTCTGTCATTTTATCAGCTATTATCACTTTTGTTTTCCCTGTTCTGCTGTGAATCCTAAAATTGATGTGAACTTTGATTACCAACAAACATTTGAAAACGAATCGTCAATATCAGGAAAGACGAGAAGTATATGAAACAATTGTTGGTTAGCTGCCTTCAGGCAGAGATAGCATTTAAGGATAGCAATACTGACTTATCATTCTGTGGCGATACAGAACAACTGTTTTCTATGCAGGTTGTATTATGCGAAAAAAAAGCTTGCTCATCGAATATTTGCTTATTTAACAAAAACTGATATTTCGAGTGCCTTCTTTCCATCAAGCAGAATGAAATTTGCTTTTTGCAACTTCACATGATTATCCCGGACTGTTTTTTTTTTTGGTGGTTATCCTATCTTATGTCTCCAAGCATCCAAAACACATTAGAGGAGACTGAATGAAAACTTTGGAAGAATGAAAAGAGCTATTCATCAGTCTTTCAAGTTTAAAAAACAGTAACATATATGAAGTATATGTTTACTACACAAAAAACACCTCTGTAATATCTCATACCAATTAATCTAATTTTATACGGGATACCTAAATAGGCGTATGTGTTTGTGTGTGCTTCTGTTGGAATTTACAAGCGATTTCTATTGCACTATTCTGTTCCATATTCG